TAAGATGCTATTGGATCGCGGTGCAAATGTGAACCACGCACACGAATACGGGCCTTCGGCTCTTGCAATTGCTCTTAGCCACAACCAAGACGTCGGCACTTTAATCGCTCGGATCCTGTTGAAAGCAGGTGCTGACGTCGAATCCTCCGCTATATACAACGACAACAGAACCGCGCTTCAGGCAGCAGTATCATCCGGCAACATCGGGCTTGTTCGGCTTCTGCTAGGCGCGGGTGCAGATGTCAATGCTCTAGGAGGACCCTGTGAGGGCATTGGTGGAGTACAAGGCTGGGGAACTGTGCTACAGCAAGTCGCAGACGGAGAAAACCATGAACAATCACTCGAGCGGGCACAAATGCTATTGGACTTAGGTGCTGATATCAATGCTCAAGCCGAGTTCAATCCTGACTTTCACGAGGATGCCAATGAAGAGACTGAACGTATCCATGCAAAAACGGCTTTACAAGGAGCGGCAGATATCGGAAGCATTGAACTGGTTCAAATGCTATTGGCCGCAGGAGCCGATGTCAACGCTCCTGCCGCCTGGTGTTCAGAACATGGATACGGACATGGGATAACCGCACTTCAAGGAGCAGCTAGGAGCGGTAATGTTGAGCTGGTTCAGATGCTACTAGGCGCACGTGCCGATGTCAATGCTCCTGGACGCAGTGCACTATCAATGGCAGCAGGAGCGGAAAAGAACAACATCGAGCTGGTATTGATCTTAATAGCCGCCGGCGCAGATATCAACCACGTACATGGACCACCGATACTTGTTACGGCAGCAAGAACCGGTAACCCTGACCTTATGCAACTCCTGTTGGCTGCGGGTGCCAACATGAATGCGATACATGAACCAACCGCTCTTGAGACTGCAATAGAACATGGTCATACCAAGTTGGTCTGAGTCCTATTAAGCGCAGGTGCAGACGTTAACATTGTGCCTGCTAACTACGGGACGGGTGCTCTCTGTGCAGCCGTGAAAAGAAACGACCTCGATTTGGTTCGCATGCTGCTTTAGGCTGGTACAAAGGTTAACGTGGACTACCCCGGCCTGGACGGTGGATGGGTCGCCAACGCACTCCCTGTTGCGGTGGCAAGCGGCAACATGGAGATGGTTCAACTCTTACTAGACGCGGGTGCAGACCCCAATGCGTATACAAGTAAGAAATATTCTAGTAACAGCTTGGCAAGAAATGCTCTCGCGACCGCTGTCTCCGAGGGGAGCGTTGAGATGATTGGAGTGCTGCTAAATGCTGGTGCGAATGTCAATGCTAGAACACAACCTTCAGGTGGATCGACAGCACTTCAACTTGCGGCAGATTATAGTACAATTGAGCCCATTAAGATCTTGCTAGATGCAGGCGCAGATATCAACGCCTCAGCTTCCCAACAGTATGGGAGAACGGCACTCCAGGAAGCAATAGTTAAGGGTCACACACACTTAGTACGATACTTTTTGGAACTAGGTGCGGACATCAACGCTCCAGCAGCTCATTTGGGCGGAATAACTGCACTTCAAGGGGTTGCTATCGAAGGCCAGCTTGGGATTGCACATATGCTCATTAACGAACAGCCGGCAGAGATAAACGGGAGAACGGCTCTCGAAGGTGCCGCAGAGCACGGACGCCTTGACATGCTTCAATTGCTGGTTAATGCAGGCGCAACAACTGACGAGAGGCACACTGCGAGAGCAAAGAAATTAGCGGCGCAAAGAGGTCACGTTGGCGTTGTTAAGTTTCTCGAAAAGTTCTAAATTTGGGGATTGGGTCAGGATATTCTCTTTTGTAGGTAGGAGATGTGGATTTTGTGGCTAAGGGAGGAGTGGTGAGCATGAAGGAAGGCTGAAGTGGGAAGAAAAAGCAAGAAATACGGTACAGCTTGTGGACACGACTGTCGATAGGAGGTTGTAATTGCACCCAGCAGTTTTCATGGTAGTATGGAATATATACTAAGTAGTTATTTGGTATCCTTCGAGTACACTGTACTTAGCATGAGTCCTCGCGGCCCCAAACCAGCATACTTGGTAGCCTGTGCCTTATAATACAAGTATATAGCGACGTCACTATTGATAGAAGTCGTTTCATATATGTATTGCGCAGCATTAGGCAATGAGTTGAATTGAGGATATAGCAGATTAAACTTCAACCTCACAAAGCTGCAACTCGAGTGCGCGGCGGTGATGGACCTCCGAACCGACTTAGACAATCAGTCATTTATTCTGTATCACCAGCTAGAGAAGAAATTTCACAACAAACAACATTGCTTTTCAGGTCTTAATTGAAATTAGGCCTAGTAGGTGTATTAGGTTGAGTGGGTTTCTGGACATTCCTCTGTATAGTGCGGAAGTACGACGGAGCGTTTTTCAGAATCAAACTAATTCAAATGAAGGGAAATGGAGTTTATTCGTTCTCTCGTGCCCAAAGGTGACTAAAATAAAATTCGCACAACGTACCTAGACAGACTGGGCACGAGAGAAGTTTATTCGAGGATATATTGGGTCGGTAACGGTAGGTTCAACCCGGGCTAGGAAGTTGAAAATCCGATTCCGACATCAAACTCCAAATATAGAAACACTTGCCGAATGCTCACACTTTCGGGAGTCCCACCACCTCTACATACCACTTTCACATGTACCATCGAAGAGAAACCACCTACCATAAACCATTTCATTCTTTCGGAGTTTTTTTTACAAATCAAACCAGAAGAAAATTGTTTCCGAAACATTCTTTTCAATTTGTCGAAGGTTCAAACTGAGAGCCTCGCTCTTCAGCCAGATGTCACAACTATTTAAATGAGGCTTATGTCACCTATTGCCACCAACACTGAGATAACCATCCCTATATCAATCTCAAAAAAAAAAAAAATAGCAAACAAAAATGCTACCGCAGAGCGTTATGGCGCGACCGACATACCACACATAGCCTTCCAACGTCGTCTAATGGTTGAACGGGCCACTCTGGACTCGGAAACACGCGAAGGTGGGTAGACCCGCAGCACAACCCGGTGGTCCAAATACGTACTAATTATTAGGTTGAAGTACTGGATCACACAATTCGCTTCTAACAATTTGATGATTAAACAGGTATATCCTTTCCAATTTGCGATCAACGTTTCCGACCTTAATCCCTAATGAGCTTTGGTTTGCACCAACGAATTGACTTCTCTCTGTTAGCCCTAGAACACAAAGAGAAGATAAGGATGCATTGTGCATAATCATACTCCCAGTAAAACTTATTCAGATAAACTTCAGGATACCAAACCGCGGTACCGGAGCAACTTTCAGAGCTAGTCTACGTACTATCCATACAGAGGTCAGGTTGTGATCATCCGGCCAAAGGTAGTCAACATACGAGAGAGAAAGACCCGTAAGCTGTCTTTTCTTCATCTTCCTATCATCGAAGGATTCCGCCAGCTGAGCCGCCAGCCACCAATTCCCCTTACTTTCGGGCTTATACGTAAACGTCATTCCATCGGTTGAATCGTAATCTTTTGGGATTCCGTCGTACACATCGATTCCAAGTTCTTTGCATTTGCGGAACGCTTCTTCTGCGAAATTGCTGCTAGAGAGAGTTCGCTTGGATATTGGAAGAAAGAGAGGATCTGGGTCCGAAGATATCACCGATCTTTCGGTGGTTCCATGAGGGTTGGCGGATACCAGGGCACTGCACACAAACAAAGCGCTAAGGATGGAAGTACTGAATTGCATGTTGGCGAACTGGGTTGGATTCTGTGTTCTTAGCAGCCAGGCTGGCCAGTGGGCTTTTAGATATTTTCAGCCCGGCCAAACCTGGCCATGGTATGGCGGCGGGCCCAGCTTCAAACAGGCTAGCTGGGCCCGGCCGCTTAGGAATTTGGACTAAAAGGGCACCAGTATATAGCGCACTTACTATGAGCGTGGTATTCCACACTGCTCACCATACGGTACCTTACAGATGCACTCTAGAATAGGTGAGTTGAATAGATGGGGCCAATATTGCGGAGGGAGCAAACGGATAGGTCAGACATGTAGAGTAATCTAACAAACAGGAAATGTCAACTAGAGTGCAAACCCTAATTTGCCCGAAACACCGACATTGACAAATCGATAGAGGTTTAAGAACATAGATGAACACGGATTGCCAAGAAGGAGACTTTAGTTCGGTAAGAGCCTTGTCTTGTCGAACTGAGGGAATATCTATCCACCACCACCGCGGCGCAATCCACCGATAGCCATGATAGCGTTTACTAGTGCCGCCAGATGCTTCCCATCTGGGTGAAGAGAGCTGAATTTGGACATACAAAACCCTAGATAGACGATAGTCTCAGAAGTTTCCTAAAGGGAAAGATAAAATGGATTAGATAGCACTAAAGAGGATACCCATTGAACGAGCCTAGTCCCTGAAGGGCCTATAGATCGACTTGTATTTGGAACATGTCAATCCACACTCATCCAGTGAACCGAAGCGGTCAGATCGGTCAGATATGGACCTCGGCCGGGCCGATCTGTGCCAAGGGCGGCCTCATATATGGTTATCTAGTCGATCTGTCAACTGGTAGATATCTATCTATATTGTCTAGCCGGACTACAGATATCTATGGATAATCGAGTGAATTTCTATGAGTACGATCGCACAGCTCGGCAACCAGCAGAGGGGAAATGAACCCCCTGTTTCTACCATCGAACTCTCAAGAAAAAACAGTCTGGAGTATTTCCTAGTGCATGGAATATAAACCTCTTTATATACATTTTCCCAGCACTAGCAGTGAGCTTTAGTGCTAGATAGTATGTGGTATCTATGAATATCTTCTCTAAACGCTAGATATCTTCAGAGGCTATGGATATCTTCCTTGGCGTAGATAACTGCAGGCTCAATAAATATTGTAGATATCTGCCTCATTGAGCCGGGCCGATCTATGCTAAGGAAGGCTTTAGAAATCCCGACCGCACCTGACCGATCTGTCAATCTGTAGATTAACGGGCGGTCGATCTGACCGCTTCGGAACACTGCACTCATCAAGGGCCGATAGCATAGTTGGTAGAGCATCCGTCTAGTATAGAAAGGCCTAGGTTTGACTCCTAGCTAGTCCACTCTACAGTATTTATGTATTTGGTTAGAGATGCAGCGGAATGCTCAAATTGAGACATCATCTTTTTCGCACGCATGTACACTTCATCAAATACATTACCTTCACATCTCTGGTACTCATCCCGAGGGTCATTCACTCTGCCGAGAACTCGAATTGGTTTCAATAGACGAATATATTTAGTCACTGCCGATATTCCGGAATTTACATGTCTATACACCTCCTCCCCTACACCATGGCCCTCCGAAACCCATTATCACACCCTTCTTCAATCCCATTATGAAGTTTACCAATTCTCGACTCTAAAGCATGTAAAAACCGGCAAGTTAGTGATACACGATCCGGGACCCCCATTAACCTTTTTCCCGATCGCAGTGCAAATCTGCGTGTGCGGCGGGTAGTGTTGCAACTGTATTGTGCGCTGTCCAGCAACAATATTTCCAGCGATGATCTGGAATGAACTCATGTCGAAGTCATTTGTTGCACTGTTCAGTCAGCACTGGGGGTGGGGAATCGGGAGATGATACGTACTCCCAGTAGTACTTGTTAAAATAAATCTGTGGATAAAACACCGCCATTCCTGAACACCCTGCACTGTTTGACCAAGTACTGTATTTATCAGCCTCCTCATTCGCTGGCTTGAAGAAAGATATTATTACGCGAAATTATATGGTGTAAGTTCTCGCCGCGTGATCTTTGCTTGGTCGAAATCTTTGGCCATCTGTGCTTGCAGCCAGAGAACTCCTTTACTGTCTGGAGAATAGTGGAAGCCGTGTCCATTCGTCTTGTAGTAGTCCTGTGGGATGGTACCGTACGGGTCTATCCCGGCTTCTTTACATTTTTCGAATGCTTCGTCGGCGGTGTGCGTGGAGATGGTAGGTATGGCGGTGGCAGATACAAGAGCGGTGGTGAATAAGATGGCGGCAGTGAGAAGGGAGAAATGCATGGCTGTTGTGGAATCTGGCTAGCTAGTCGGAGGTTGAAAGGAGTTTGATAATTGCAAAAGAAGTGCAATGCGAAGTACGGTGGATCAAACTTGGTTTTCATATCGGTTTTTGTGAATTAGCTAAGAAAGTTAGAGTAGGTAAATGAATATTCTTACTCTACCTATCTTACGTGCTTATTGCGGTCCTTGTATTTGTTGCAAATTAGCTATACGTTAAAGATGGATGAATACAGATACAAAACTGAGTATTGAAAGTAGTGAAACAGGGCTTCACTACAGCTGGTGATATCAGGTTACAGGTGAGATGGATGAATGGATAAATTTTAATCTATATTAGAGTTATCCAGTCAACGACAAGGGTATACTCGTGTCGGACCCACGACTCGACAAATAAATGTCCGTGATGAATTTGTCAACCCATCCCGCGTGCCATGTAGAGTACTCTAAATATCGCTTTAGAAAGGGAACAGAGGATGAACCTAGAAATGAGGCGGTGCCGTCATCCACTGCATTAAAATCGGTGGCGCTGTATCAAGGACCTCCCCCACCACCAGAGACTCTCGAAGCTCAGAGGAAGAAATGTGGACTAGAGTGCGTACGCACCTCCAGTGGCTTAGCTTAGATGGTTGAAACCATTCCTTTCCCTCCGCATATTTTTTATTTATCGTGAACGCATGTGGAGAGGGCGTTCCTCACCAGTAATATGAATTCGGACCATCAACTCTCGCGTTCATGGATACGGTAATCATTTAGTGCTGAGTACATAAGTACTCTATAGAATAAAGTAAAATACACGGTCTACCATCTCTACCTATCCGACTACACTCTCGCGGCCTAAACACCGCTCATTAATACCGGTAAAACGGCCGGCGAACTTAAATTTCCCCGGAACCCTGCTATCTCTTGGCACGTAACGGGCCGATTTTGTTGCCGTAGGAGTAACATAATTCAACCCCAATTTGGTACTCGATCCCGTATTCCAACAATAACCCTCTGCATGGTGCCAGAGCGCAATTGCTTTACTAATTTCCATACCTATTGGTCTCTCTACCAATCCGCACGTCAGTTAAAGAGCAGCCACACCAGTCCTACTCATCATAGCTAGCATTTGTGAGCACACGGTTAGAAAGAGAGCTTTTTTTTGTACCTGTGCAGGCCGAGGACATTGGGCCTACACACAATCATCCAAACTGCGAGTAGAACTCGAAGCGTGATCAAATACGACTACGCTCTCGCTGTTACGGAGGACATCTGTTATTCCAGATTCAATTGTTGGAAATGATAATCCGTGCTTCTGTACAAACGATTTTTACTATACCGGATGGCAAGGTAGGTACTTTGTATCGAATGCGACACTGTGATTCCCGTCGTAGTGGGTTTAAAGTACTTTTGTCTAAAAGTATCGAAAATGGTGGGTGAATAGATTGCTTTTATTTCCCGAACTCCCGAATTGTACTCGCCAAAAATGGCCGGGTTATGGCGTACGTTATTTGGTTTAGCTTAACTGAGAGCTAGTGGACGCGACCGGGTAGACGGGACCCGACGAAATACCAGTAGAAGCGACGGGGGGTTTTAGACCGACGGACAGCCAGTGGAGGCGAGGAGAAGGGATCCGGAGCCGACTAACGGCTGGTGGAGGTGCGGTGGAGCTGGAGGCGACCAACCTGGAGTTCGAGTTTGAGTCTAAAAGCCAGAGTCTGAGTTTGAGCCTAAAAGTCAGAGTTTAAGCCTGAGACAGAGCTTCAGTTTGGGCCACAGCTTGAGCTACTACTTCGTTTTACTGCCTGGTTCTTGCTCTGCTTTCCATGCCTGTTTTGTTTTTCAAACGTTTTGGATATGACTATCGATGAAGACACCGGAGGAATGAGCGAGCTCACTTGAGTAAGTACTTTACCCTCCCCGCACACACGTGATTTCGGGGTTTTATTCCCCAACGTTCGATTATTTGAGTACTCTACCAAGTATCCCCTCTCGCGGATACATGCGACGTATACAGGGCTATTCCCTGTGCGAGACATATAGAGTATCCATTATAAACAGCCCAGCATGCTGAACACAAATAAACAATTGACTGGAGAACGTCACAATTCCTTAAAACCACACAAAGCCCATGCCAGTCGCATAATTACCAATAAATCGTGTTTAAAGAAATTTCGGACCGTATTTGGTGATTTAGTGCCTACGTGCGCGCCGACCCCCGTTCCATCCACCCGCGGGGTTCCCATGTAAGCTTAGAGATTTAATTTCCACCACCCGGGATAAACTTTAAGACGGAAAATGAAACAGCCCCACGTCTAGGAGTGAGGCGAGATGTTAGAGCGTCTAACACTAACTCGCAGAGTAAGCCACTACTTGAGGGATGAATTAAGATACAACTTGTGTGCCTAATCGAAAACACGTGGCGGCACTTTACATGACTTGTGGCTAAATCACATTACAGCTAAGAGTACTCTCATTCCGGATATAATCATGGATACCCGCGCACTTATCTCGTTAATGTTGGAGATATGCGCAATAGAGCAATCAGGCGAAAACCTAAGTCGGTTGTTACGAAATGAAGTGTATCCCACGAATGAGTAGAGTACTCCAGGCCTGCTGATGTGGATGTGGAAAACCCAGAGCGCGAGATACACACCGAGTATGCATCTATGTGCGTGTGCAGAGATCTGGGACATAATGTTGCCGGATTCATGGGGCTGTTCGTAGCTGTACCGGTCGCTCACTTCAACAGTTTCGATAACCGGAGACCTCTCTTCAACCAAGCGGTTGATATCGGTTTTGAATGGTAAACCAAAAATAACGGACTTGGCTTATGTGTAACCATTCATATGAGATAGCTTGTTGTGGAAATTATCCATCTTTTTATACTCATCCCAATCATGAGATATCACGTTGATATTGTTGCTAGCTCGGTGATTATGATTAGTCGAATGGGTGTGGGCGCGGTTCATCAGAGGAATAATAATGAAGGTTCATGTCAACCGGCTGTTTTGGAGAAGAAGAGTGGGAGGTTGAGTGTTTAGACCATGATCGACGACCGCTAGTAATTCTAGTGAGCGAGTGTTGCTAAATGATTAAAACTGTGTTATAACTCATTTGAATTCATTATATACTAGTTCTTGTCGGGTTATATTGGGAATTGCGCACATATATGTTAATAATTGCCTTACCGCACAAGCACCTATTGGGTTCCGTAAAGGAACAAAGTCGTGATTGCTAGTTCTTGAATCATGAATGCAAAGCCAATGTCCATGTCAGTCACCATGCTATGATACGATCTGAGCGTATTTACCCCACTTTCGCAGTATTGGATTTATCACTCGCCACCGAGCACCCGCTCACCCAAACCGAAATCCATCCTCACGATGACTTCTATCTATCCGCGATGGATCTGTATTGATATGTCTTAGGTTCGTGAGTCGACTTAAGCTTCTATATGGTATAATATGAAGGGGTGAGGGATTCCGGAAGAAGCGCAGGCGGTCCACGGTGTTAGTAGTAAACAGACACTGTACACACTCCCAACGGATTTCATCAAGAATAAAACCTTCGTCCGTACAAAATCTGATAAGATACCGGAGATCCTGGAATTAACTATGAGAACCTCATGGCCTACAAGAATGTACGAACTAAGGTACCCTTGCTATATATATCGATCTCAAACAAAAAAAAAGGTAATAAAGAAAGTTACCGCAAGGCGTTATAGCAACATACATACAGATGCTGCACCAGAAACCACAACCTTTCTAACTGGGGAACGGTAGAGTCGAAACATAAAGACATGAAAAGGGTGCGGGAGCCCTAGCACAGCCCGGGTACCCATAGATATACGTACGCGTTCATCGAAACATCACATACTTCAGTGGTGTCATTCACTGGTCCTGCAGAAAACATAGATTCTCTCATTATTGGGATTGATGTTTTCAGCCATCTTAATCGACCTCTGGTCTGCACCTATAATTTACTACTACTGTATCTGTTAGTCCAGACCTTTCAAATCTGATAACTAAAGGTGGCAACACACATCCATTCAGGAGTGTTCATGTATACTGTGCGAG